GCGGGCGGTGATATTTCGGGGTTTGCGCGGTCGAAAATAAAGCGGAAATTGTCCGGTCAAATTCAACAAGCGGTCATAAAAGCAAGTGAAAAAGGTGATTGGAAAACGGAAGCTGGTGGGAGGTTGTGCGAAATAAGTACTGTAACTTTGCGCAACTTTCTTTTAAATCGTTTTATTTTCCAAGTCAATATTTTATTTTACTAATACCATTTTTTCTAACGCAATGGCGAAGAAAAGAAAGTCTTGACAGACGAGGCAAAGAAAAATCTGCCACTCAGTGTTGCAATCTGAAACAGCAATTTTTTTTTCAAACATCGGCCATTTTGTTTCACCATGAAAACAGTTTTATTAGATCTCTTATCAGAGACACTTGAAGGATTAGCTTGTTTGTAAACTGTCAGCGTGTACAGTGGGACAGTAATGTTTGTCAGGATTATCCCTCGTTGTGTGTTTGCATAACAATGGAAACCCGAACGTTCCTGGAGTACGGACTCAAATGCCAGCAGTTTTCTTCATTTTTCACACTCGAGCTTGAAATTATTCATTATCTGACACTCTTTATGAGTTCTATGATACCAGAGGTTAATATGTTTGGCCATTTTTAGTGTATATTTATAATAATGCAGCAAATCTACAGTGTTTTATTAACCAAAACTGTTTTTCGTGTTTTTCTCGAGTTGAGGTTTTGACTGAGTACGACTCATTGGGACCGCCGCCAAATCAAGTGCGTTCGGACTAGGACATTCAAACTCGCAGTTATCGTTCAAAAGATAATGATGGTGCGAAACATGTCTGGGTTTTTAAAGAAAATGCTTTGTCACAGAATAATAGTCGGTTAAAGGTGCCAAGTATGAAATAATTTGAGGACAAAAAAACAAACCTGCATAGAAATCGGAATAATAGGTCTTTTGATTAGTCTTTTGAAATATATAAGCTAAATTACTGTTCTGAACGAGACAACAGACAGAGAATGTTTTATTCGAAAACGTCACAAAACCCTTCTCGCTACCTTAAGTACAAGGTAGTATACAGGCACTGCCCCCATAAGAACTACAGTGAAATAGAAATACTGCCCTCACTGGCAATGTCCAGCAGCCTGCCCATCTATCAAACTCCCATCCCAGTCATTCTGAATATATACAAACATATTCAGGTACAATATAAACTGCAGTTTCCAAATTCTCTTACTATAACAGAGCCATAAAACATATAGGCCATCAGACTTGTTTTGCACACATGTGCAACATTTGTCACCAAAAATTTGCAGGCTAATTGGGGAAAAAATGTAAACAAATCACAGTGCAATGCCCTATGGGAAGGCTGAACAGAGGATAGTAAAGACATTAGTTTGTATATTATAATCCAAGTTAAGGTAGTACACATACCTGTTTTGATTTCTCCAAATGGTATGTTAATTTCACTGGTGCAATCATGGTTCGCTTTATGGTCGTCAAGTTGTTCTTGCGTTGTGTGAACTTTCAAGCACACATCACATTTGTGAATGTCCGGGTGACTGACATGTTCCTTGTCCATATGTCGCTGCAATAACACGCCCCCATTGAATGCCTGGCCACACAGCATGCACGGGAATGGGAGCGTTTCAAGGTGTATCCTCATGTGACGCCGCAGATTCTCATCAGTTTTAAAAGAGTGTCCACAAAGTTCGCAGAGTGCAGGCTTGGCTTCTTGGTCCACATCAGAGTGCATGATTCTCATATGCTGCTGAAGACCATTAAAAAGTCTGAACGGCGCTGTAATGCATAACTTGCATTGCCAGCAGTTGTCCACCTGGTGCTGTTCCAACATGTGTTTTTCAAATCCAGAAACATTACTCACACTTTCCTGGCAGAGATGACAGGTGAACTGTCTTATCGTGTACTTCTTAGTACCAGGTTTTTTATAGCCATCTTTCCGTTTTTTCTTTTTCTCTGAGGTAGTTTCAATCTCATTTGATTCTTTTGATTCTCCGCCCGAATGCACATCATTGTTTGTAGTTTCATCTTCTACGGTCACAGGCACACTTTCTTGCAAAACATCCTTCTTTGGTGTTGACGCATTTCCCTCCGCTTCCAGGATGCCAATATCAAAAGCCTGTGCCATGTCAGCATTTGAATCAGTCTTCATTATTGACTTAGCGTCACGATTTTTACCTGTTTTTGGTCTCGCTACCTGCTCATGGACATAACTAGTATGATTTCGTAATGAGCTGAGAAGGCGAAAAGATTGGTCGCATTGACTACATTTCCAGGGTTTCATAATTCCATGCTTCTCAAACATATGCTTATCGAACTTTGTCGCATGGACAACTTCTTCCCCACACACATCACACTTAAATTGATTTTTTGTCCATGACCTACGGTTACTACGGTTACTACTAGTACTACTATTATTTGGGTCATGCTTACTCAGGCAATGTCTCTCGTAATTTTGGTATGTTCCAAACGAAACATCTTCACATTTTTCACATTTGAACGGTTTCGTGACACCATGCATTTCACTCATGTGCTTCATGTACTTCGTGGTCCATTTAAAAGTCTCGTTGCACTCATCACAAGAGAAAGTCAACTTTCTATGTTTTCTTTTCTTTTTTATAGAACTGTCGGAATTATTTTTCTCTGTCTTTTCTACATCACTATCATCATCAGCAACTAATGGTTTCTCGTTATTTTCAAACTTTCTAATTTCAGAATTGTTCTCATTACTTGTCTGTGATGCATCAATCACATCTTCTTTTTCACTGCATCGAAGTGTAGGCAATGGCGATGTTTCATCATCTGAAAACCTGTACACTTTACTGCCTGTCAACTCTTCTGCTGCTTCAGAAACTTTTAAATCAGTTCTTTTCACAATGCTATCACCTCCACCTATTTCATTGGGCAATATAATTTCAGGTTTTTTCTCCAAATCCAATTCTGTTCCACCTTCAGGACTTTCCATGCTGACCTTAGATTTATTTTTCTTGGACTTTCTCTTTGTTTTTTTTGGCTCATCCCCTTTTCCGGTTGATTTTTTCTTTTCACTACCACTTTCATGAGATTCTTTCTTAGTCTTCATTTTTTTGACTACTTTGTGTAGCTCTGCAACTTCCAGTTCAAATTTAGTGTGAACTAAATCATCATGTGATGGTAACGGTGGTAAGAGCTCTGGCAGGGCAGGTGGACATGGTATTTTTCCCATATCGTCATCATCATCAATAATATCATTGATTTCCTCTATCACATCCTCTTCCTTTAGAGGAATAGCATCTTCTTTTTCTCCAGAATCGAGACTTTTTGATTTTCGAGATTTTCTAGTCCTCTTAGGTTTTTCAGGTATTTCAGGTGTCTTTTCAATTGAACTGACAGAAGCTTCCCCTGACTCAAAACTCAGCTTCTCTCCCGGGTGTGTTGTTATCATGTGCTTCTCTAAAGTAGCATATAAGCGGAATCTTCTTTCTGTTGGACAACGCTCACACTTCCACGGTTCCATAATGGCATGTTTATCCATCATATGACGATCAAATTTGGTAACATATCGAATGGTTTCACCACAAACTTCACATTTGAATTCTCGATGTGTCCATTTCCTTTTTGTTCTCCTATCAATATCGTCTTTCTTATCAGCAGAGCCTCTTTCATCATCGCTAGCTTCCATATCAGACTCTTTATCTGAGGCGTGACTGCTCTCTAAAGAGGCATCTCGGCGCTTACGTCTCCCGCCGTCCCTTTTATCTGGACTTTCAGATTTCTGCTGTCTTCTCCGATCTTTCTTCTTCCCTTTGTGAGAGGGCGATGGTAAAGGTGATTCATCATGGTCTGAATCTTCCTTTATTTCCTTATCTTCTTTTGATTTATCTCTCCGAGACCGTCGTTTCCTGTCTGTTTTTGCTGGACTTGGTGTTCCACTTTCGTTGGCGCTTACACTTTCTTCTCTTTCTTTCTCAACTTCTTTCTTCTTCTTTCTGGATCTCCGTTTTGGAGCTTTAGGTACTTCTTCCACTGGTACATCTGTTATCAAATCATCCGGATCAATCATCCCAATATCTGCTGGGATATCCGGTTCAGCGGCCAGCAACTTACGACGTTTGCTCTTTCGTGGAGATTCCTCCTCAAGCTCCTCAACATCTGACAATTCCCTTTTCCTACAGAACTCATCTTCATTGTCATAATCTTCTGGGATCATATCAGGAATTTCCCGGTCTTCCTGGGCTTCTAACTCTGGCATACTACTGTCGCTTTGTCGTCTGTCTTCTCTAGTGATGGGTTCTGGAATATCTAGAAACGTCTGCGTTTGTATCTCATCTTCCTCTTCTAAAAATTCCTCATTATGGACAGCAAACAGTTCTTGATTGGGAGCTATATCACCTACTATTTTAATCATATACCTGGAAAAAAAATAAAAATAAGAGATTCTTATAATAATAATTACACAAATTTTAATGCTGTACTAGACCTTTTGACCTTAAACCCTTTGAGCATCAAAGACATATTTTGTCACTTCCAGAAAATAAACATGAATAACTTTTATTTTTCCCATTTTTCCAGACAAGCAATCTTATGGTCGAAATAGCTTCGCTGTTTCAGGAGAGCAGTCATGATTAAGTCCATATACATCATAGAGAAAAACCAAATAACTATAGCCTTGTTTACATTGTATTTACCGGTAAGTGTTTAGATCTTATCACTGATAAGAATAACTTTGATAGTTCCCGACTTTTGCATCAACTCCAGCTTATAGGGTATATGTCTATGAATTAGGCGAGCGTTTCCCTAATGTCATGAAATGAACTAATCTAGTAGAGGTCAACCCAAGGTACATATATACCAAGTATCAAACCAATTCCAGTAGAAGTTTTCAAAAGGAATTTGAAAATAGCATTTTTACCAAAAATGACAAAAATATTCGCTAAAATTAGAGAAACAAAAAATATCCTCACTACATGGTTAAATTAATAGTGGTCCACCCTAGGTGCATATATACCAAGTATTAAATTAATTGGAGTAGAAGTTGAAAATATCATTTTAATCCAAAAATTAGAAAAATATTCATAAAAATTAGAGAATTGGAGATACCCAATGTAAAATATGTATAACAGCAATAGTTAACGGTTTTCAAAAAGAAGTTGTTTGAAATGTGCAAAACATTGCACCTACCAATTAAGCAGTAACAACTATGTTAACTGGATTATTTAACACTATTGTCTATAAACCCTATTAGCTCAAATCCCAGAAAGAAAGAAACAACACATATCACTAATAGCTGACTCACCTTGTATCTTCCTCTGTTCTCGTCAATACACAGTTCTGGTCCTGATCACTGGACGCCGGACTGATGTACCTCAACCAATTAGGCGGCAATTCAGCTTCTAAATCATCCAGTGGTTGAAACATGGCAACAGAATCATAATTTGGACCCGTCACCTAAAAAAATGAATGAATAAAACTTGTTTCAGAATAGAACAATGTGAAAGCTAAAAGTATTGTTCTAAACTTTAGATTATTCATAGTTCATTTGCATAAATGATTGATATAAAGGCCACGAGTAATGTGACTGAAATGTAAATTTGTTCATTGATGGAAGAAGGAATAACATTTCAAAAAACATAAATTAGACTGAATCAATATATATTGATTTTTAATTATCACGTAAAATGTAAACCAAAAATTTCATTTAAGTTAGACACATACACTTATCTAGGGCTACAGAAAAATAGTGTTATACAATTATAATTAAATTTCCTATTATAATGATGAACAAACTATTTTACCATCTTAGAATATACATAGTTTTGACATTATTCAGAATGTTTTGTCTTGGTAACACAGCATGACTGATGTGTTGTTATGTAGCAGCCACTCCCTTAAACTATTATTAGTTGAGTTGATATTTGTCATAATTACACGTAAGTAAATTTTGACATTTTTTTTTTTTTGTAAATCAGTCCTTGTAATAAATAATTACACTCAGCCAAGGAATTATAATTTCAATATTAGACATATGACAGTATTTATGATATACATGTATATTTCAATTCAAAAGAATGACATAGGACAACTAATACATGTACACTAACTATTACTGCTTTTGTGGATGGAGATGCTTAAACACTGACAATACAGATTTTACTCAAAAATTAAGTTATACACTGTGATTGCATCAAAATCTGAACAAATAAATTTGGGAAAACCAAATATGAATCTTAGTTTTAGTCAATGTTTTATTCAAAATAGCCGTCACAGTATGGTTTAATGGTTTATGGGATAAAAGAAGTTATTGTTTTTTCATTTGTTTTATTGATGTAAAGTAATGCATTCACAATACACAAAGAGTTTGTTCAATTTTCTGCAATTTAGAAAGTTACCACTTTGAAAAGGATTTTGTATTAACAATTTGAATTTGGCAACAGTGATTCATTTTTTAAATAGAAAAGCAGTTCATTTTTTTGAAATTAAATTTGGCACTGCTGAGTCAATGGTTGTTAATCATAAAAACGCATAATTTTTATAATCTACTTACCAGCCACTTATCACGAGACTCTGCTGGCATAAATTTCATAGTCAGTTTGCCCTGGTAAGGTCCAAACTCTGTATCATTCGTTATGTCTTGTTTTGTCCAAACACTGATCTGCAACTGCTCATCAATTTTTAATGTCAGTTCTCGTGGAAGGTCAAGCGGTCTTCTGACTCCCTGAGTGAAAGAAGAAAAAAACAAAAAATGCATAAATATGATTAAGAAATACATGTGT